GCCTATTATGTAGGCATTTCCCAGTCCAGCATTCCACCCTCTATCCTCTCAGCATCTACATGGCTTTGGCAGAAGGCAGCAGCCCTATATTTAGCTGTGAATTGCTGCCCTGCACAGCCCATTTCCTCCAACTACCACATAAGCAAAGGGAGCTTCTTCCACAATCTCCCGACAATTGTTAAGGTTATTTGATATTGTACAGGCATTGACTTCAATTCATTCCACTCTCCACTTCTTTTATGTGCCTTTAAACGATGGACATCGATTATTTCCTGGTCTTTTTTTTATTTTGCTCATTACCACGCCCAATATGTGACAATATCTCGCACTTAGATAACATGTTCAATGCTGTAAAAGTGTGCCACGGAAGTACAAACAGATGCAGTTTGACACAGAATCACAAAAGGCACCATTAGGACCACTTACTCAATGAGACATATTTTAAGAAGGAGGCCAGTCTGCCCATCATGTCTGCCCTGGAACTGACCCCCCCCTCCAATTGATTCTGTCTCCACCACACTCTCAGGCAGTGTATTGCTTTGCTGTATTGTAATGAAATGTCCCTTCTAACACTATCAGTTATTTTCCATTCACCTTAAATTGGTGTCTGGCAACAATTTCTCCTGAGCCACTCTGTCTAAACCCCCCTCATGATTTTGAACACTGAATGATGCTTGTTTCAACCTTCTCTAAGGAGAGCAGTCCCAGCTTCACCAATATATCCAGGCGACTAAAGTCTTTGTTGCTGGAAGCACTCTCATACTCTCTCTTTTCTGCACCATCTCTAGAGCCTTCACAGTGCAGTGGCTAGAGTCAGGCACAATGCTCCATTTGAAGCTGGACCAGCTTTTTCTAAATACATTTTCAAATAACTGCAATAAATTACTTGCCAGGTTTTTTCCCCTTTCCTTCCCCAAATCGATGGCCTGTGCAGGGTACAGCTCTGAGGGCACTGCCTGTGTTTTAATCTGTCATCCAAGCAACCATTCTTCAAGTGAGAAATAGTGAATGTCAATAGGAATATCAACTATAGGGGGCATCACAATACTGCTCCTTATTGCCTTCCGTATTACATGCATATGCTCACGCACCCACAGTAGCACATGCGTGCGCACACACGCCCACACACACGCCCACAGACACGCCCACACACACACAAAAAAAAATCATATGCATGCACTTCTTTGCCCAAAGTCAGATTTCATCCTTTGCTTTCATAAAATGTCGCACTACTATAAATCGGCAAGTATCACCTCGGACAATTTTTTGAGTAGAGTTTGAACAGAAACACAAAAGCTGCTTTATTTGGTGTTAAATATGGCATTTCTACCTATTCAAAGAATCTCTACAGAGTGGAAGCATGCCATTCAGCCCATTGATTCCACACTGACCCTCCAAAAAGCATCCCAATCCAGACACATGCTCCCCAACCCTGTAACCCTGCCTTTCCCATGGCTAATCCACTTAGCCTGCATTTCCTGGACACTATGGGCAATTTAGCATGACCAATACACCTAACCTGCACATCTTTGGCTGTGGGAGGAAACCCACACAGACACAGGGAGAATGTGTAAACTCCACACAGACAGCCACCTGAGGGTGAACTTGAACCTGGGTCCCTCGTGCTGTGAGGGAGCAGTGCTAATCACTGAGCCACAGTGCCACCCGCCCTAAAATGAACATGTTTTAAAAGTGTCACCACAAATTGCAGGCCTTTCTGAAGTGACTTTTACATGTACAATCCAAGTAGTGACGATCACTCCATAGGCACTGAGGACACCAGAGGGATTACATAGCTGTCAGCTGCCAGAAAAGCTCTTCATTTAACTCCGGGAAGGTATCTACCAGGAATCTTCCTCGGTCAAAATAAACTGAAGCACTGGGTTGAAATCTATCGTCTTTAACATTTCACAGCCATTGATTGCTGATTAATTCTCAGTAAACTCTGTCACAAGGCCAGAATGTTTTATCCAAACCTTGTGAATATTAACACATGATTTTTTTTTAATTTACTCATGGGCCATCGTTTATTGCCCATCCATAGTTGCCCTTGAGAAGTTGGTGGTGAGCTTCCTTCTTGAACCGCTGCAATCCACATTCTGTGAGTTGACCCACAATGCCATTAGGGGGGGAATTCCAGAATTTTGAGCCAGTGACAGTGAAGGAACGGCGATATATTTCCAAGTCAGGATGGTGAATGACTTGGAGGGGAACTTACACTTATAGCTGACATTAACTCAGCCAGCACAAAAACAACGCAAACAGAGAAATGGAAAATAATAAAGCTTTGAAATTATTCTTTTGGAGAAGTGAGAGATCTTTGAGTTCAAATAGTAGTCATACTGTCTGTGATATTATGATAGATGACCACTCTGGCACTTTTGTGAAATTAACTAACTCTGCCTTTACTGGTAAAGAGTGCTTTAGGAAGTTCACTGTCCCCAGTTGTCCTTCATCTGTACTTTCTCTTGAGTCTCTAGTGATTAGTGGTAGACAATCCACCATTATATCTGCAGAACAGACACTGATCTGAGATAACAGGAAAGATTATTGCACAGGAGGGAAGTGGTGTTATACTAGTGTCAATAGACTAGGAATTGAGAATAACAGTACTACAACATTTGGTCAAGCATAATGACTAGGCCATTAGGGTGCTGAAACAATATGTCTGCTCACTCTAAAACCTGGAGAAGGACTCTTATTTCCTCCCACACTGTGTGTGGCATCAGTAGAGTGGATGGAGCCAATGTAACATTAATATTGATTTCCTTGAGGATTATTAAGGCACACCATGCATGAGAGAATTGGACTGTGCTAATAGACAGAACAATGGTTCCTATGAGTGCAAATTGCTAGGATATTTCAAAGGGATGGTAAAGTCCCCATAACCCTCATGGACCATAGGGCTCCTTTCTTATTAGAGAGATAGAGATGGCTGCTGGTGGTTTAACACCTCAGGCAAGGGGAAAGGTTGCAAAGGGAAGTTCTTCATAGTAATTTCAGAGGAATAGCATGCACGCTGTTGGTATTACTTTATATCAGAAACCAGCCATCCAGGCAACTGAGTTAAACTGAAGGACATTTTAATAATACTCTGAATGTTACTGATTGCAGTGTTAAAAATAATGTCGGGATATCAGCATATGTTCACTTATCACACTGTATTAACCTCTCTTTTCTTTAGCTGAGAAGGTAATTGGTTAGTCTAATAGAATATAAATGGGGAAGTTCAGATGAATGGGTTAAGTAATCAACCATTGTTATCTCACTTCATAATAACTTCTGCTAATGCATTATTTATTATTCAGTCATGGGATGTGGGTATCACTGGCTAGACCAGCATTTGTTACCTATCCCTAGTTGTCCTTAAGGTGGTGAGTTAAACCACTGCAGTTGTTGGAATGCAGGTAGACCCATAATCTGTTAGACAGGGAATTCCAGAAGTCTGACCCAGCGACACTGAAGGAATGGCAATCTATTTCCAACTCAGAATGGTGAGTGGCTGAAGGGAAGCTTACAGGGGTTGGTGTTCCCATGTATTGGCTGCCCCTCTCCTTTTGTTTTCCTAGATGGTGGTGGTCATGGGTTTGGACGGGGCTTAGTAAATGTCCGCAGTGCATCCTGTTGATGGCACACACTGCTGCTACCGAACATCGGTGGTGGAGGAAGTGGACAGTGTGGATAAGGTGCCAGTCAAGTGGACTGGATGACATGGCTAGATTTTCACTTTTTAGAGATAATCATTTCCTGGCATATGTGTGCGCTACGAAGGTTGCTATTAATATCAAGTATGTTGTTGGATTGGTCTGTCAGGGCATTGAAAGACAAATGCTCCTTGTCACTTTGAGAAATTAGGGATTTAATTTTTCCACCAATACTCTGCAGTTTTCTAGACCTGAACCAGGTTAATGTTGGGAAGTTCCTGGCCGCTGCATTTTATTACACAGTGGGAATGGGCTCAAATGCCACTGGGCTGCCATAGCTTGACCCCGACTAGTCAACTGAAGAACAGAATGTAGGAGCAAGTTGCTGCAATGTGTACTGAAAATAAAAAATCCTGGCAATCACAGCAGGTCAGGCAGCATCCATGGAGAGAGAGCAAGGTAATGTTTCGAATCTCGATGACTCTTCATCACTTTGCAACATTCTGGACGTAATATTGAGTTCAACACCTTCAAATTGTGAACCAACTCCCACTCCTTCCTTTCTTTTAGCCTTACTTGTTACATTCTCTGTCCTCTCCCATCCTCCCACCCCAGTGGGACTGTCTGTTCTTTCAAGTTGGACATACCATTGTTCTGCCATTCTCACATTCCAATTACTTAATCTGAACTATCTCCCCCAGCACCCTACACCCCACTAACCCCTCCACTATAGCATAAATACTTGCCCCTCCACGCTTCACTTCAGCTCTGAGGAAGAGTCATCTAGACTTTGAAATGTCAGCTTGCTTTCTCTCCATGGATGCTGTCCGACCTGCTGTGATCTCCAGCATTTGTTGTTTTCAATTAAAGAACATCATTGGTGTGGAAATTTCAACTGGGGAATAACCCAGTTGGAGAAGGGGAGTATCCTGTAATTTGAATGAAAATGTAATGAGAACGGGTTCATACCAACCAAACAAAGGGTACACATAAGAGCAAGTTATCACAAGTTTCTAACTGTAATGTTATCTGTTTGGGAGGGATTCAGCAAGGGGCTACACATCTTCCAATAAAAATCAGAGTATTATTATTGATTAACAGAGATCTTTCAAGAGGAGGGTGTAAAAGTAACCAAAAAAATGGAGGTACCCAGAGAAATGATTCTTTGGCTATAATCTCTTTACGTGGCTCAGTGTTATATTTTACAATGCTGCTGTGAAGCATTCTGTGATATTTTATTACATTAAAAGGCTCCAGTTCAATGTGTAGTCTCTTGCTTGAGAACTGCTTGCTGTTGATTGCTGACTGTGTGCTTGCTGCCTCACTCCCTCTAACATGTACAAATAACTTCAACAGAGAAAGGGCAGATCTTCATGCAGAAAAAGCCCACAATGTACCCTCCTTGGAACAGCACCTTTGATGCACACATCAACAAAGGCCGAGTCATGCACATCCTCATCAAGGGCAAAAGTGTGGAGCTGATCTCCGAAACCACAGTGGAGCTGAATTCCCTGGCAGAGAAATGTAAACGCAATCAAGGAAAAGCAGACATCTGGGTAAAGCTTTCATACTTGATGTGTTAATGCATAGTCTAGTGGCAGTGGATCTGACATTCCGATGAGACTTTAAACCAAGTTCCAAGCTGTTGGTACAATTGGATGTTAAAGTCAGTAAGGAGAAAGCAATGGGGATATAGAGATCAAATGCATGCATTGGTCAAATCAAACTGAATATTATTTATTCAATTATTGAACGTGTATGGCACTGGTAGGACCAGCATTTATTGCCTCTCCCTAATTGTCCTTCAGAAGGTGATCTGGCTTCTTGAACTACTGCAGTTCTTGGGGTATAGGGACAGCACAATGCCTTTAATGAGGGACTTCCAGGATTTTGACCCAGTGACAGTAAAGGAACGGCAATATATTTCCAAGTCAGGATGGTGAGTGGCTTGGAGGGGAACATGCAGCTGATGGTATTCCCATGTATCTGCTGCCCTTGTCCTTTGAGATGGTAAATTTTAAGCATCAGTGGTGGAGGGGGTGAATGTTGAAGGTGGTGACGGGGCATTTCATCCTGGATAGTGTCAAGCTTTTTGAGTGTTGTTGGAGCTTCACCCATCCAGGCAGACTGAGAATATTGAGATAGTAGGAACTGCAGATGCTGGAAAATCTGAGATAACAAGGTGTAGAGCTGGATGAACACAGCAGGCCAAGCAGCATCATAGGAGCAGGAAGGCTGACGTTTC